TATATATATATATATATATATATATATATATATATATATATATATATATATAATATAGAAAGACAGCAATAAAAAACAGCTATGAGTTGTAAACATACTAGAAGCAATATAATTTATTAAAACACATATATATATGTGTGTGTGTATATACATATATATATATACATATACACATATATAAATATTCATATACATATGTATATATAGGCCTATATGTATGTTTATGTATACGTATATATATATGTATAGGCTATATATGTATATATATGTATATATATAATAATTTTAAGCGGAGAACTAATAGTATAAGCATACTTGCTACTTTATAACATATTGTAAAACATGCTGTAGGCGGCTATAATTATTAGCAATATTATCATTGCACTTAATCGTTTCCCGAAAGTTAACAAGCACAACAGTAGTTAATCAAATGATTATGTCACGCAAAAAGGACTATTCTCTATTCCGAAACTGTGGCTTAAACTTATGTTGCTCTCCATTTTAAGCTAACCACAAATAACATTTTGCAAATAATCGAGAATATTTAATTTAACATTTTGAATAACATTTAAGGGAGCGATTAGATGTGGTGATATAAAAGATTCAAATTTCCAATAATATTTATTTAAAGCAAATATATTGTTATTACTGACTTTTAACTTACCAGGCGACGTTATTTGTATGAATATATTCCAGTCCGACGTCCAATGTGTATATACTAATCGTACATCGCATATTTGATTGATAGTTTTTTGACGAAATTTGCGTATGTTCTGTAGTTAACCACCATAAGAATAATAAACGACAAACAGTTAATTTCGTGAAAACATGCACTAACACGCAGGAATGAATGAATCATCGGTTATCCAGTTGCCATCACTATCGCTGTGTAGTCTCTAGTTTGAATTGAATTTATGAGTGATTCATAAACCGACAAAATAACAACCTGATTATCCAAGATGAGGCCGGCAGTTTGTCACGTCGAACGTCAAACCACAGCTCCTATATATAGCTTAATATCTGTCAACGTACGTTTCGATCAATCTTAATGATGGAAATTCGTTATTTTGGTATCGAAGTTTACAGAAGCTTTAGAATAATGATTGTTTGGAAATAAATGTATATACTTTTTATTATAAATGGCTTATTTAATTATGATACGTCCGGCAACCTGAATCTAGTTTCATTTTCTTATCAACAAAAAACATTATGCTTAAAATTATGAGAAGCAAGCTTGCAAGTAATTTTTAAGAATCTAATAATACCAAACGATACTACATTAAATCTAACATTTAATAGCGTCCGCATTAACGATCTGGAAACATTATGTTGAATACAAAAAATATCATTTAGAAATTGCTGTGTTCATTTTCTTTCAAATATTAATATTACAATACCGTATTAACTATTGTAACTAGGCCCTATATTCTTTTTAACTTTTTATGTGTTAATACAAGTATGCACGCATATACCGAAAGGCCCACTACTTAATCCCAGATAAGATAGTATAATACATACTCTGAGTGTCGAAATTCACGCCATCGTGTGAGGATTCAATATTTTGACATTAATTATGTCATCATCAGAAATGATGACGACATAATTAATGTCCAAATATTGAATCCCGAAACGATGGCGTGCATTTCGATACTTGGTGTATGCACGCATATAGCGTATTGTGATTTGATGTGGGTTTACATTAAAGAAATATATCATGTTTCTACAGTCTAATTCTATGGTCCATTGTGCGAGTGTGTGGGTGTGTGAGTTTGTGTAGGGTGGGACTTAAAGAGTGCTCTCTTGTTGTGTATTTTAATTAGAGGTGTGTGTCTAAAACAATGAAATTGGAATATCCCGCAAACAGGAGATATCCTCCATTTTGACAATTAAAATACTAACAGGCCTATAAAAACTAAGCATAACAGTCTAGGTTGGATTTCTTCGATTCATAAAATATATTCTAGATTAGGCTTCTGCAAAGGCTTCATATTCCGTACTCTAACTCCATTCCAGGGGTGGCCCCAGTGTGAGGACCGGGGAGGTTGAGTCCACCCACCGCCGGCAGAAAAATCACAATTAGTGGGGGAGAAAAAAATAATTATTTGTATTTCCTACATATATGTAGGCCTAATAATATTATTCTTAGAGACTCTAAAATCGATTAATTGAAACCCCTAAGTTATATTTTTGGAGCCGACTCGTCGGACTGCTTTCGAAAGTTTTAAGCGATGCCCGACCACACCTTCTTTGCTTTCGTCGGTGACATGCCCCCCCCCCCCCCCCCCACCGACCCACATCGGTCAAATCCGAGCACCATCCCTGTTCCATTCCTTCGTCTATTTTCTCCTTCACATGCCTTGCCCTTCCACCCTCCACACTCTGAAGCAATAGGCCTACATTTGCTTTGCGTCATACATGTAATCAGTCAATCGGTCTGCAATTAGCTGATTGTAGACTTCCGCAACACATTGGGTCAGGTAGATTATTAAAATCAAAAATTTCAAGTTGATTTAAATCTACAGATTTCGAATTTGAGTAACGAAGGGCGTTTTGATGTTTAATTGACAAGCAGCTGCTCTAAACAGAGACAGACCATTGGGCCAGGCACGGAACTGTAAAAATGATTAAATTTGCGTTTTCAACATAGCTTTTTTTTAAAATTGAATATCATACACTAGGCCTATAAGTTTTGATTAGATGATGTGATAAAATTTAAATTTGAATTCAGTGTAATTTTTATGCACATATCGAAAAATATACACAGTTTGGCATTATGCCAAAAATAGCAAAATTACAATTTTCATCTGTTGGTGATGAAAATTCTTCCCCAGCTTCCATTCGGTATGGTGCCCTCGGGTATCAATTCTACGGCCTCTTCTTTTTATAATATTTATTAATGATTTGCCAAATATTATTTCTCATTGTTCTGTCTTCATGTAGGCCTATGCTGGCGACACTGCTGTATTTCATCCAATCCAATCCAGTCATTTATCCAATCATTTATAAAGCCCCTTGTTTACTAACACAAAGCGCTGCACTGTACCCCACACTCAAGCACCTCACAACTAGCTTTTTACGTACAAGTAATGTCAGAGATATATTTCGGGCATAAGCCAGACAGCGACTTGAATGCAAGAACCAGTATTTGAAGTAAACTCTTAAAGAGCAGCCAGTGAAGTTCAAGGAGAAGATGTGATATGTGAGTATGAGAGGATCGGATGTTATAAATCAGACATGCAGCAGAATTCTGCTATAGTTTCTGTTATTTCAGGGAATCCGTTACAGCCAGCTCAGTGTACAATAATTACAATAATCAACTCCTGATAAAATGCATGACAAGTGTCATAGTCGATAAATTTGTGAATCCTCCGTATGTTACGAACATGGTACCAAGTTGAATTTGCAAATAGACTAAACCTGATTTGACAGTGGCAACGTGGAATCGAAGGTGACATTCAATTTCAATTTCAATATAATGTTTATTTCCACATCATCAATACAAAATACATAGACGGAGAAATACATAACGGTAAAAAAAAACAATAATTGTTAAGAATGTAAGCCCATCAGAACATTTGAATAAAGTGGAAAAGGGTCACCACAACAAGCAAGCTTTATAACGGGCGCCCATTGATTATGAAATAAAATTAACAACTATATCACAAAAAAACAAAAAAAATTATAAATAAAGTAACAATAGTCATTGAAAATTCTGAAGAAAAGTTAAATATGATTACATACAGCACAATTATTTATACAAAGGTTTGCATTACATCAAGATTTCGAACCGAGTTCGTGAGTAAAACGTCCTCCAAGTATCCATCTAAATATTTTAATGACATCCAAATTACTATTAAAAATGAACTTGAATGAGAACAAACTCCCTTTATTATTAACAAAACGAAATCGCATCTGGTTTTATCCATCGCTGTCTTGGAATGTGCATGTAGACAAACTGTTGGAAGAATTTCTCTTCTGGGCAGATTATGTCGATTGATAAAAACTCTCTAAATTTACTTCAAAAATCTAATTACCTTTATTTGATTATTGTGATTCAATTCAGGGAACCTGCGGAAAGAGTTTATTAGATAAATTACAAAAATTACAGGATAGAGCAGCACGTGTTATTTTTATGACTGATCACAAAACAAACTTAGTTCAAATGTATACTTCTCTTGGTCATTTCTTAGCGAAAGGAGAAATAAACATTTATATTAAGCACATCAAATATTAAAATTTCATATAAATTGATGGGAATTATGGTGGTATACAAGGCAAATATACTGTAAGTATTATGTAAATGCTAATTAGCATAATCACATTACCAAACAAAACAATAGGTTCCGTCTTATTACCATCTTCATATTACCATCAAAATCTCTCGAAATTGTTCAAGGGGGCAGAAAAATATGACAATTTAGGGGTTTCAAAGGCTTATTTAATCGATTTTAGCGTCTACTAATTTTTTTCTCGACGGATTCTGGTTTCCTCCCCGACGGGGAGGGGGAAGCTGGGTCCCCTGGCACCACCCCTGCAAAAATTACATGAATAAGAACATGGGCACAAAAAAAAACCTCCCCGGATCTCCGCTCCTTCAGGGAGGCTAATTATTCACTTAAAATATTTATTATCTTGCATTTTGCAAAGGTCTTTCCAAAACTATAGTTAAAGACGTTGCAACATTCATTACTTTACCTTAGAAATTTGGCTTATACTGCTGGGCTCCGCATAGACTGATTATCTAAGTTTTAGGATAGTGACAGTTCCCCGAAAGGCCGCCAAATGCAGAAATGGCGAGTTCAAGACAAATACATACTGTTGAGCAATTTATTATTCGAAACACCACGACACTCTCAACAGTTTTCCCAACTATTTACAGTCTACCAACCACACAGTTCTACTATTGTTTATCTGTCATGAAGAAAAAAAAATATTCGAATTGCTTAATTTGTATATTTAAGTAAGTTACGGTATTAACTTAAAATTATAAATAATTTAAAAAAAAATCAACCGTCAGTGAAATAATAACTTTCCTGTATTCTTATGCATAGAGATTTTGTAGTGAAATGTCCGTAAATCAGTGAAAATTACTTTTGTCGGTCTGTTTCTCATTGGAAGCTATTTGATACTACAGTATTTTATATTTGTTATCTGATTAATGTGATGTCAGCGCTGATGTGTAGTTACAATCTAAATACTGTAGAGATGATAGCAGTGAATCTCTCGTTTCATATTAAAGACGTTCTTCGAGATTACTACCTGTATTAGTAATTAGAAGTTATATTTGTAACATAGAAGGTCCGAATGAATACCTGGTTGGTTTCATGGGCTTTCTCTATTGTATGAAAATGCTGACCTATTACCATTAAATAAGAACTCACAGTTGTCTATTTAAAAGCGTTTTCGACTCAACTTGCAAAAGTTATGTACAGTAGTGTGGAGGAAACCCATCTCACGACAATGAGAAAACTGTAATTATTATGATGATGCTAATAATGATAATTGAAGTAAAAATGATGCATTGATGATAATTCACATTGCTTCTCTCAACAGTCACCATTTCACACACACACACACGCACACACACACACACGAATTAAAAAAGATCAAAACAAGGCAATGGAAATGTTATTTTTGGCACAGTTTATTTTATCTTCAAGTCCTAACTTAACTAAAAATACAGTGAACAAAATACAACTTGTCCAGTTTGAAATGAGGCAGTGAAGTAGCTGGTTGCTGAACTATTACTTGTACTACATTTATCTTGCAACATATTTTAACAGTAAAGTTAATTTTTGCAGTGGCTATTGTCACACCAGTATTAAACAACCATTCCTAATTCTGATTGAAGGTTATCGAATGTATGGATTGGATTACGACATCCATTTACAATTAAGAATTGGTTTTAGACTGGTGTAACAATAGCTACTACCTTTAATTTAATTAAGAGATGGCATCATTTATCAAAAATGGGCTACACACTTTCAGCACATTATGGGGGTAGTATGCCACATATCACAAAGGCAATTATAAAATTTCCGTGGTTAGATCAGCTCCATGTAATAGGGTAGTACAGCATGTATCAAAAAGGCTTGTTAAGATTTCCATGGCTCGATCAGCTCCACGTTATAGGGTAGTAGTAGATCATGTACCATAAAGGTAACAAAAAAATTTCCGTGGCTAGATCAGCTCCCCGTTATGGGTTGATGATAGTGCATATATCACAAAGGCAATGGCGTTCAATATTTCCACAGCTAAATCAGCTCCATGTTTTGAGAGTGGTAGAGCAAGCATCATATTAAGGTAACGTTAAGTTTCCATGGCTAGATAAGCTCCATGTTATAGAATAGTAGAGCACGCATCAGAAAGGTTAATGGACATCAACATCTTTCAATGTAAGTGTTTATCAATTTTGCAAGAGTTCCCACTCAATTGCCATTTAGTTTTGATAGTTTGTCCAATAAAACGCTCATTGTTTCCTTTTACTATTATTGTCTCTGAAAATTAGTAAGACAAATAAATGATAGTTTATTTAAAAATCCATTGAGATATGATCTTTCTATTCATCATCATCACTGTCATCTATGCAATTGTTTTTCTTGAAATGAGATGAGCTTGATTCAGATATATTCGTTTTATCTTTCCCATCGTCTTTGTCCATCATTTCTTCATTGTTTTCAACCTCTTCTGTTTCAACCGCTTCTGTCTGTTCTTTTATTTCTTCACAAATCTCTGTATCTCTGATGAAATGAAAAATATAGTAAATGCAGTAATTATTTTCATTTAAAACACATAAAATATAACATCAGAATTAACTCTATTATCTATTAATGCAATTTATGTGTGAACCACCCTGTGAAGACCGGTCACATTGTTTTGGCCTAATATCTTTGAATAATTCAAAGTGTTAATTAAAAATAGGTAACAAAACATCTTGCCTGGATTTTATTTAAAAAATAGATCATAATTTTAATTTTGCCCACTGTTGGTGACTGTTGATTAGGATTTCCCATTTATTTTTAAAGTTTGTCTTTACTTGTGGGTGGGTAGACATGAAAAAAGAATTCCACTAGCGTATGGTATACTAATTGCTCAATGAGAGTCACTATTGTGTGTTGGTAAACAATTATATAATGGTATATTGACCTACACAGGTGTATTTAGGTATTGTGTATTTAGACAACAGTTTTTGCCACGTGAATGTATTCATTTAAAATGGAACATTTTCATATTATTGTATTTTAAATCAGAGTTAATTTCACTTTCTAAATGCTTGCAGAGTTGGTCTACTGTCAGTGGGTCTTGGATTATACTTGCTTGCGACTTGATATGAAAATGTTAGTTACCGTACTCGCGCAAATAAGCGCCTCGTTTGAATAAATGCCCCTCCTAACGTGAAAATTGTCTTAAGCCATGCTCTCTCGATAATTACCTTTTCTTAACCAAAACCATTAGTTTATCTTTGATTAAAAAAAAATTGCCCCTTGAATTTTCAAATTTCCCATAAGCACCTCTTCAATTTTCATCTATTTCCATAAGTGCCCCCCCCCACCCTCAATTTCCATTCTGTTTTCATAAACGCTCCGTTTGAATAAGCGCCCCTCAAAAGAGCCAAAAATATTTTAAGCACCTGGGCGCTTATTTGCACGGGTACGGTATGTGTAGATGAATGCTGACCATAACCTGACCTATGACCTACCTATTAGTACTAGTGCCAGCTCCAGCATCATCCTCTGGATTGTCATTTTCCTTATCGATTTTCTTTGGTTTTGATGTTTGAATTAGAAAGTTCATTATACCTTTCTGCCACTCCGGAGTTGGACGGTCGCATACAACATTTCCTCCTGCATACTTGTTTTTTCCAGCAGCTAAAAAGAAATATTATTGAGAGTTTATTAATTTTTTTTTCCCAAAACAATTCTTCACTTTAAGATTTTACCCTATACCAATTGAAGATTCTGCAATAAATTGTATACAATTTTTTCAATTTACAATAGTTGTAGAGTTCCAAAGAGTGGCAGGATGCCCCAATTAACATTTTACAAACCTTAGTGCTAACCTCGCTCCATTAGGCTTTAGCAAACTAGTACATTTTTTCCCTCTGCAGAATACATACCCCAGGTACAACTGTAGCAGATTCATAATTAAAAAAAGTTAATCCAAATTAGATGGTGTGCTTGCTTCGCTCGCTTACCCTCTAGCATGTGAACGTCTCGATTAGTTTTAATAAAAAGAACAATAGGACCTCTAAAAGAAGATAGGTTGCATGTTGCATGTTATTTCGCTCAGTTATTTTCTTTACCTAATGTCAGAATGCTGCGGTAGTTCAGGTACAGGTTTTGATAGCAGTTTTATATCATTTTACATAACATAAAAATATTTAAAAACCACTAAAATGAGATAAGACAGCATTGGTAAGGGACAGCAAAAGCAAAGTTTTACTGTAACTCATTGAGAAGCCAAAAACCGACTGTGCTTGAGAAAAATCGACTATGTTAACCGACTGTGCCTGAAAACAGAGTGTGCTTGAAAATCGACTGTGTCCGAAAGTTGCCCAACATACAAATATTGTCCAAAAATCTTCTCAAACTCAGGGGTCGTCTTATACGTGGGACGCCTTATACGCGTAATGCATTTTGCGGTATCTAATGGGAATTGAGGTATTGATTAGAAAACTTACCTTTGGGTGACAGTATAGCAGATCCACTACCGGCACCTCCCACACCACCAAGGGATTTTCTTGGTGCTTTTGCTGCCACAGCTGAAGGAAAAAAACAGAAGATGTCAGGTCAATACATATTTCAGTATCTTTTACTGAAGACAGTAAAACAAGACCAGCAAAACACTGAATCCTTGGCAGCCATTAGCTGAATCAGGGATTGGAATTTTATAGAGAATAATTACAAATTTAAAAAAAAATTATACTTAAAAAACACTTAAATAATAATTCAATTTAAAATACAATAATACAAATTAAAATTATGCCCAAAAACTGTTCAACACTATTAGCCCCTTTCAGACAGAAAATACCGCAATAATACCCTAATCACGGCGTTGTTATTGCCGGCACAGACCCTTTCACACAGCTAGTTAAAATCCAGTAATAATACTGTATCCTGTCTGAAAGGGTTCTCGCGGAAAGGAGTATTTGATGTCTGTGGCGCTTGTGCTTGTTAACAAAGAGAGGGAGCAATTTTTTGTTTACTCCATTAATCCAATATGGTCGGAGATGAAGTCATAAAACTGCTGCTTTGCAAATGTTTTTTAATGCTTGCTATGTTTGCAATACATGTAAATTTGAGAAACAGAAGGTTTCTAATGCGTTTCATTCAAGTAGAGAAAGAGTTTAGGAAGCGTTTAAGGTGAGGCCGGCTTGAATTTCGTGCAGCTAGGTGCAGGCGATTTTCGCGTCTAAAGAACCGTCAGCTAGCGATTTCATCGGCTTTGTTAACTGCAGCAGCGGTTGATACGATACAATACGATTTATTGGGTTCACTTTTAGATCAGTGGCACCCATCACTTAGATGGTGCACCCATTAACAATTATAAAATATAAGCAAAGGAAAGCAAAAGACAGTTCAAAAACAACAAACGGATAAATAGCATAACAAAAACAAAACCAAGCAATTTACAAGGCTGTGACCGTCTGATTTGTTATGCCTCAGTGTGTAAAGACGGCGATGAACCCTGTACCCTTTCACATCGAGTTGGGCAAAACTCGCTACGAACGGTATTAATGCGGTATTAAGACTAGGTCCCGAGAAGGTCTAACTGAAGCCAGCATTTAGGCGTAGGCCAAGGCCCTATTAACCATTTCACATAGAACGCCGGCGTTCGAGAAATATGGTAGTAATACCGTTTTGCAGGTCTGAAAGGGGTAAAAGATGCAGGCCAGATGGAAGAGGGCCTAGGCCTAGCCTAGCTCACTTAGGTAGAAAATTGCCTAGGAGGCCAGCCCTACCTTCAGTAATACCTAAGGCCTAGGCTAGTCCTAAGCTAGGCGTGGGGCTAGCTAGGCCTACTAGTACTAACCTAGGCTAGGAATTTAAAGTCATATTGAGTTGAGGCTCCGGAGGAAAACAATTTTGGAGCGGTTTTATTTATTGAGATACCTTGGCTAGGCTACTTGGTAGGAAGATTAGGAAGGGGACTAGGTATGGCCTAGCCTCCTGAGTAGTACAAGGCCTAGGCTAACCCTAACCCTAGCCTGCAGTAGTGCTACTACTAGGCTCCTACAGACAGTACTACTCTAGCAAAGGCCTAGCTAGGGCCTACCTAGCTAGCCTAGGCCTAGCCCTTGACTGGCCAATCATAGAACAAAACAAAACTGTTACCTTTTCTTGCTCCTCCGTCTGCCTTTGTTCGTACCATCGTATATTACGAACTCAAAAATAATGTAATACAAAATAATATGGAAAAAGATCTAGGATTTGAAACAACACATACAATTACAATTTCAATGATGAATCGGACGTCCAAACAACCATACTCTCGCTTGCTATTGTGTCGATCTTCGTAGCGCGCGAATTCTGAAATTTCGCGGGGTATGGTTGGTAACTGGTGATCTGCACCGCCATAGTTAGACTTTCCACCACAACAAGCCCATGACTTTCTTTTTCATTCTAGACAGCGCCACCACCGAGCAATTGCATCCTGCTGCAGACCGGCAGCGAGGCGAGGTCAGCTACGCTTTGCAAAAGCAGCCAGACATTGCAAAATCGTTAATGCAAAAGAATAGCCTGGGCGATACCATTTTCGCGAAGGTAAATTGAAAAAAAAATATGATCGACCACTTTTATGGTTGCTGCCCTCTACAGTATTTCAACGTCAGGTTAAGTTATTGTAGGTGGTGGACAACCCTGGGTAAACTAACCCAGTAGTCATGGTTGGGGCGAGTGGATACAGAAAGGTTCTGTATTCGGGTGTGCAGGGCGAAGGCCTTGATAAAGCAGACTAAATGTTGTGGCAGATAATGTCTTGGTTTATTTGTCTCCTGTCTCTTTTTTTGTGGACTGATTATTATTTGTTTTTCTAGATGCTCAGATGTGCTTTCCAGCACTGGTCTGTTAATCAGTGGCGGATCTGGAGGGTGGTGGTGAGGGGGGAGGGGATTAATAGGGTGGCTACTCACCCCCTTCGTTTACTGTGGGAAAAAAATTATGGTCACTCGTCTTGCGTGTGTGCTCTTCGTGTACTCTTTCTATTTGATGCCTAATTTTTTTTCAGGGCGGCCACCTAATATCGTCCAGCAGTCTACTAATTCCAAAAAA